TTCATCGGCCGTATTCGGTACTCAACTATACTGCGTCTCCTGCAGACTCCCACGGCGGCGGAAATAATAGCCCAGCACGCTGATCGTCAACCCCCTCCTGCCTTAAAGCAAATCTCAGTTGAGAAGCACGTTCCTTCTGACGCCCAAGCAAAAACATCGATGATACCTGAAGTGAAAACGAGTTTATCACTGAAACGACCGATAAAAGACCAGGATAAAACAGTGGGGCAGAGCGCGACCGAGGGTGTGACGGGGGTGGAGCCGGCTGGGATGTTGGAACAGGTACCGCCTCGGCCTCAGCTAGTCCCAATACCGATTAAAGCTGGGGTTAAAAGTAGTATGAGTGCCGGTGCAGGTGCGGTTTCAAGTACTGGTGCTGGGCTTTCAATGGCGCAAGACTCGGTACCGAAAAATACAGCTACACCAGGGGCTGCATCCGGAGTCCAACCATCCTCAGCCACTGCGTTCTACGCAAGGCTCGTACCTATACCTACCGCCACTATACCTACCGTCACGAAGGGTACGAGTGCGGCAGATGGTGCAAGCCCCGCTACGAACAACGGCAGACCAGAGTTGAAGGCTGCCGCTGATAGTATAGGCGGGGTCGTGCCTCAGGTGAACACAGCAGCACAATTAACCAAACAAGCTGGCGGTAAAGATTCTGATATGGTCAAGAATAAGGAAACAGATAAGGATGCCGATAGAGAGCACAAATCAACTGAGGATAGCAACCTACCCAGCAAATTGGGTAAACCAGCACTCGAAGGCGCTACTGCTGTGCCGCTTCATACAGTCAAGCCCACGTTACAAAGTACCTCTACAGTACTCAGCCAGTCAACTAAACCGGTACTCCAAGATACTATTGCGGGATTAAAACAAACCACCGACTCCACGCACCCAGACGTTGCTTCACTCAGTCCCACAGTCAAAGCTCCACTCCAAGGCACTCCCAGTACCTCGATGCAGACTGTCGATTCTAAACGCTCCAGTGGTCTATCAACCCAGACAGCCAATCCTGCACTTCATGGTATGATGGGTAGTACGCCACAAAGTGTGCCAGTGCCACACTCTTCTACAGGTTCGACACAGCAAGCCAGTATGACTAAACCGCTACAAAGTATGCCACACCCTCCCTCTAAAACGGTACATCAAAGCGATACGAGTGTGCCGATACAGCCCCCGAGCGATCCTCGGATAAGGCAACCGCCCAGCGACCCGCGCATACGACCCTCACAACTGGCAGGTGGCATTGTACGCCAAACTCTCACTTCTGGTACCACGGGCAGCGCAGTGGCTAGATACAACACTCTTCAAAACAGCACACCTGCGAGTAGTATACATGCAAGTAACATAGGTGCTGCTGTGCCTTTAGCGAAGGTCCCAACGTCGTCTACGGCTATTCCGCTATCCGACCGGAGTGTGAAAGCGGTATCGCCCGCAAATGTTCGGGATAGTTCTTCCCCAGCACCAGGTATCGGTAGATACAGTAACACACTCATAGCTGTATATACGTTGGGGTATCCAGCGTGTATCTGTGGATGTATTATATATTGGGCCGAACCCACGCGCGACTGTCCCGATTTTCCAATAGGGAGATGAAAGCGGTACTACTCACTTGTTTTGGGTTTTACCCACTTATTTTAGGTTTCAACACTGGATTTGATACTGAGAGCGCTACGCTCGTGTATACCATTGTGTATTTCATCGCTTTAGAGTACATGCGCCAAATGTCATTTACCTATCCGTATTTCGTATATATGCTATAGCTTGCTTGGTGTGGCCTATTAGTGACACATGCGTTAGCACAGGACTGGGCTATCAGCGTTATATCTTTCATCCTTCCTTTAAAATCCTAGTGCTGAATCTTCTATGGAACCAAGGCTATCATTTACTGAGACCACTATCATTTACTGAAACCTCTAGGTTTTACCCACTTATTTTAGGTTTCAACACTGGATTTGATACTAAGAGCGCTACGCTCGTTGATACCATTTTGTATTTCATCGCTTTAGAGTACATGCGCTAAATGTCATTTACCTATCCGTATTTCGTATAAGCTATAGCTTGCTTGGTGTGTCCTATTAGTGACACATGCGTTAGCACAGGACTAGGCTATCAGCGTTATATCTTCCATCCTTCCTTTGAAATCCTAGTGCTGAATCTTCTATGGAACCAAGGCTATCATTTACTGAGACCACTATCATTTACCGAGACCTCTATTATTTGCTGAGACCTCTATCATTTACTGAGACCACTATCATTTACTGAGACCACTATCATTTACTGAGACCTCTATCATTTACTGAGACCTCTATCATTTACTGAGACCTCTATCATTTACTGAGACCTCTATCATTTGTGTTTCCTGTATTCATATTTCCCGAGTAGATGCAAGTATGACAAGCAACGCGGCACCAGTTACCATAGCCGCTCCAGCAGACCCGAGACAAGGTGCTCGGAAAAACACATAGATGACCTATAAATACGTGTGTGTATATTCGTATAACAGTACAAACTCGCCGTGTTTATGCATGTGTACGTGTGTTTATTCGTATCCATTGCAAACATGCGTATGTTATTTGAAGATGATGGATAGTTGTTTGAGATACAACAGTATTATAACCCTCTTTTTTTATATCCATGGGATTGACCGTGTCATAGATCAGCGTATCGCTTGCTTGACCCTAACCCACGGCCTTTCTTTGTACGGTATATACTGCATAGGTGCAAGCTTACCAGCAAATGCCGCTACAACAGCCATTGCCCCCCCCGCAGATCCCAGACAAGGTGGTTGGTCGTTTGAGAGTCGTGAACAGTCGTACTCGAGTATTCATTCTCACAGCAGTATACTGCACCCGTTTGCTTCACCTCCATGGATCAGCTGTTTGAGTGTTGTGAATAGACGTACTGAAGTGTTCTTGCATCAAATACTTCAACCGTTTGCTTCATCTCCACTATTCAGCTGCCTGGGTCGTTCGGATAGTAGAACTACTATTTTTACAGCAACGATTGCAGCTATTCGATTTACCTTTGTTGTGCTGGCGTTTTGGTGATTTGAGCAGTACTAGACTATTCGTACAGCTTTTACTACAGCCATTCGGTTCCACTCCACGTTACCATCGTGCCTATAGTCCATCGTGCCCATAGTCCGTGCATTCCGGCGTATTGCTCACTCCAACTATATACTATGTACTTTTCCATAGCAGCCCCTGCAGATCCCAGGCAAGGTGCTCAGGCCACAAAGGACCGAGACGGGGATCTTTCGCTGCCGAAAGACTGGTCTTTATCTGGGCCTCCCCTCCCCAATGCTCTACCTCTCACACGCCCTGTTGTACGCAAACCCGTGTCACTGACAGGACCATCTCCGCGCAAAGCGGTGGTTATTGAAGGGTGTTCAACTGTAAAGGATGTGTCGGTAACGTCTGTGGTGTTGCCTCCTTTGCCTCGTGCCAAGCCGTTGGTGAAGAAGGCGGCCCTACGGGTCGGTTCCCAAACAGGACCTATTGACCCCAGAAATGGCCCTCAAGACCCTAGGAAAGCACTGCCAGACTCTAGAAATGGACCTCAAGATCCTAGAAGGACATCACTTGACCCTAGGAATACACCTCAAGGTCCTAGGAATGGGCCAAATGACCCCAGGAATGTTCATCAGGATCCTACAAAAGCACCGCAGGACCTAAAGATTGGACCTAAAGATCCCAGAAATGGCCTTCAAGACCCCAGAATAGGACCGCATGACCCTAGATTAGGACCACAAGATCCTAGAAAGGCCTCGCATGACCCAAATCCACAAAAACCGCAACCGCCGGCTTTGGCGCCCACTCTCGCACAAACACGACCACAGTCAACGCGACCAATACTTGTATCATCAGACAGCCCCACCACCACACCGCACACACCTGCCACACCGACTGGCTCTACAGCAGAGCACCCCAATGTCACCGCAAGCCCAGCACACGTGGCTGGAAAGACGCCAGCAAGCACAGGCTCACCTGTGCCTGGCGCAGAGACCCAAACCACACAAACGCACACGAAGATACACACACAGGCCACTGCGCCACTGTCTGCGAAGGCGTCGTTGCCTGTGGATGGGGTGTCGTCGACCGGTGCTTTGGCACTTGTGATGGGTGGCGATGGAGTGGACAAGAATCGAGCGGACAAGCCTGTAGATGCAGCTGCCGTCAAGATCACGCCTGTAACTGATACTACTACTAGTGCTAGTCCTCTTGTGGCTGTTAACAAGGCTATGCACTCTGATACCATGAAGGGTAGCGTTTCTGATGCTCGCGTAGGAGCACCTGTCGGTCCATCCGCCGCACCTGCAGTTCCGGCTGATTCCAGCGGACAGAGCCACAGCCCGAGTGTGGCTACCGTAGTGGCGCGCACACCCTCGTCATCACAACTACAGATCGACACACACACGAATTCGCTCGACCCTACCACCACACAGGCTAACGCTGGTACGACAACTCCAGCGCCGCAACCCCAACAACAACAACAACAACAACCACAACCACAACCACATATGAGAGCACGTCGGCGAAATAGAGCCCCGCCAAGAATGGTATCTATCGCTGGCCTTGAGAATACGATCACTGCGCGCGCCGCCTCACCTACAGCATCAAGCACGGTGCCAGCTATACCCATCGTAACAGGTACAACCGCAGGCAATGATATGCCCACTACAGTAAGTGCAACCGCAGATCGTGCTACAACAACAACCACAATAACAGGTACAACCACAGGCAATGATATGCCCACTACAGTGAGTGCAACCGCAGATCATGCTACAGCAACAACCACAATAACAGGTACAACCACAGGCAATGATATGCCCACAACTATGAGTGCAACCACAGATCATGCTACAACAACAACCACAATAACAGGTACAACCACAGGCAATGATATGCCCACTACAGTGAGTGCAACCGCAGATCATGCTACAACAACAACCACAATAACAGGTACAACCACAGGCAATGATATGCCCACAACTATGAGTGCAACCGCAGATCATGCTACAACAACAACCACAATAACAGGTACGGACGCAAGTGGCGCTTCCGCCACAGCCGCTAAGGACACAACAGCACCACTGGTAGGTTCAACCACCGCTACATCCGCAATAGCAGGCCTTGGCCCAAACAATTCTACAGCCACAATGTTAGGTACGACTGCAAGTGTCGCTATAGCACCTGTATCTGCCATACGCGTAAGGGACGCTGCAACTACGGGAGAAGGCGCAATTGGAACTACCGCTACTATACCTACCTCTTCTGCAACCACAAGTAGTACTACAGGCGTAGAAACTGTTACAGGCGATAGCGCAAACACTGATACCACTACAACACCTGCTACCACCGCACACTCTGCTCAAGGCGCAAGCGCTCGATTAGATCTGGGTGCAGGTACCTCTACGGCGGAAGAGAAGGTGCCGGATACACAAACACACACCAGCACGGTAACAGGCAACGGCATGCATGCGAGTGCAAGGGTACTGGATATGCCAACCATAAGTGGGAATGCAACACGCAAGCGGAGATTTTCTGTCGTAGACTCGGCGAGTAAGGACCAAGCACACACAAAGACGATACCCACAGCACATGCAGCGACAGACAGTACCGGACATCAGGCAACAGCGGATGTGACTCAGGCTGAAGAAGTTGGTAAGGCAGCTGTTGATACGGATCCAGTAGATGATGCCGCCGTTTTTAAGGTACGTGTGTGCATGGAGAGACTGTGTGTACACATACTTGAGGCTAGAATGCCCGTGAGGAATGTGTACCTATACTTGAGGGCTATATGAGGGCGAGATTGTTCATGGAGAAACTTATGTGTGTATTTACTGGAGGTTATAGTATATATTTACTGGAGAGTATATGTGTGTACTCTGTAGGCTCGTCTGAGTATATGGGGCTGGATGCCAATTTGAGTTATGGTTATCCATGGTGATTCTATGTGGTCAGGCAACTATGTGTATATTCTTGAGGTTGAATTTTGATATGCTGTACGTGCGAATTGTGCATGGCTGGGATGTCGATTTGAGGGTATATGCTTTCTTAAAACTCATTGTATGCGCACTCTGTACGGTATTGTGGGTGTGTATCGATGCTCTCGGCGTGGCTTAAGGTCCGGCCTCAGTATTCATGCGTAAGTCTGTACGCGCATAGTCATTGGTGTGGGGATGAAGGTTTGTGAATGCATATCTAGACTATAAGTGTTTATGTTCAATAGGCCATAGCTAGCCATGCACTACGGAATCGACTGTCTCGTTTGCGATGTACCTGTCTTTTCAGACCATTACCGAACTTTCACTGTGCGGAATTGTTTGCGCTTGGCCGGAATGTCATGTGGTTTTAGCCCTAAAAGCCTGAATTTTGAAACCCTGAACCCTAAAACTCTTTAGCCTTTCATTCGAAAGTTTAAAACCAGACACTGAACTACTTGTGCAGTTTGCTTTTATATTCATGAAATTATCTTCATTCTCATCGATATACGGATCAGTGGACACACTCATAAATATAAATGCGTTAGTGAAGTGTATATAGTACAAACACACCTGCAATTATAGTGAAGCTTGTACAGATCGCATGTATCTGTATGCAAGAATTCAGTTTTAGAAAGGTATTATTTGATTGCAAACAGGTATTGTCAGCGAAGCCTATCTAGATCGTAAGCACTACTTACACACCTTCAACTTCAATGCTGCATATATCATGCGTCGTACATCCATACGCACACAAAAGCATAATCAACTCTTATACACCAATATATACATATTTTCTTATAGGACATTATATCTGGCACAATGGAATCCCATATGCACACAGAAGCATAATCAACTCTTACACACCTATACATATTTTCTTATACACCTATATATACATACTCTTACATACCTATATATACATATTTTCTTATAGGACATTATATCTGGCACAATGGAATCGGCCGAAGACTCCGAATCTGACGCACCCCCAGTGTGCGTACCGCTTTCACCCTCAATGACGTCAGCGAAGAAAATCCCGCCATCTACAGAGGAAGAAATTAAAGCTGCACGTGCTCGTATATTCGGCGATTCGGTAAACAGATATCTTCGAAAGGTTTGTTGACGCTGGCAAAAGTGGTAGCTATTAAATCTGCGCGTGCATTTATGTTCGGACACTAGGTATATATTTATCACTTTTATGTCAGTGAGTGACATACAGACTCACACACACACACAAATACACACAAACGCACACAAACAC